TAAAATGGAAATACATTTAAAGTATACAACATGATGGGGGCCAGCCCAGTGGCGCAAGCGGTTAAGTGCACACACTCTGCTGTGGTAGCCCGGGGTTCGGCATTTCAGATCCTGGGCGCACACTGACGCATTGCATGGCAAGTCATGCTGTGGCAGCGTCCCATATAAAGTGGAGGAAGATGGGCATGGATGTTAGCCCAGGCCAGTCTTCCTCAGCAAAAAAAAAAAAAAAGAGGAGGATTGGCAGATGTTAGCACAGGGCTGATCTTCCTCACAAAAAAAAAAGTATACAACATGATGATTTGATATATGTATACATTGTGAAAATATTCCCACAATTGTGTTAATTAACACATCCATAAACTCACATATTTACCTTTTTGTGGTGAGAATACTTAAGCTGTACTCTCTCAGCAAATTTCAATTAGTCAATACAGTGTTATCAGCTATTACCACCATACCGTACATTAGCTCCTTAGACCTTACTCATCTTAGAGCTAAAATTTTGTACCCTTTGAGGACATTTTCCTCTTTCCCCAACCCTGATACAAGTACCATTCTACTGTCTGTTTCTGTGAGTTTGACTGTTTTTTTTTTTAAGATTCCATATATAATGGTACCATACATATTTGTCTGTTTCTGTCTGGCTAATTTGACTTAGCATAACTCCCTCCAAGTTCATCCGTTTTGTTCCAAATGGCAGGATTTCCTTCATTTCTAGGCTGAATAATATTCTAGTGTATACATATGTCACATTTTCTTGATCCATTCATCCATCAACAGACTCTTAGGTTGTTTTCATACTTTGGTTGCTGTGAATAATGCAGCAGTGCACATGGGAGTGCAATATCACCTCGCGTTAATGAATTCATTTCCTTTGGATATACACAAAAAGTGGGATTGCTGGGTTATATGGTAGTACTATTTTGATTTCTCAAGTAACCTCCCTACTGTTTTTTATAGTGGCTGTACCAATTTACATTCCCACCAACAGTGCACAAGTGTAAACTTTTCTCCATATTCTCACCAGCATTTTATATCTTTTGGCATTTTGGTGCTAGCCATTCTAACAGGCATGAGGTGATAGCCTATTGTGGTTTTCATTTGCATTTCCCTGATGATTAGTGATTTTGACCAACTTTTCATGTACCTGTTGGCCATTTCTACGTCTTCTTTGGAAAAATGCCTATTTAGGTCCTCTGCCCATTTTTAAGTTGGGTTGTTATTTTGCTATTGAGTTTTATGAGTGTCTGGTTTATTTTCAATATTATTCCCTTATCAGATAAATGCTTTACAAATATTTACCTTATTCCATAGTTTGCCTTTTCATTTTGATGATGGTTTCCTTTACTGTGCAAAGTCTTTTAGTTTGATGTAATCCCATTTATTTATTTCATTTTTTGTTGCTCTCTTTTAATTATAACTGGTATACAATATTCTGTTAGCTTCAGCTGTGCAGCATAATAATTCAATTTTTATATACATTATGAAATGATCACCAACATAAGTCTAGTTCGCTTTTGATGTCATATGCAAAAAATCATCACCAAGACCGATGTCAGGGAGCTGACCCCCTATGTTTTCTTCTAAGAGTTTTACAGTTTCAGGTCTTACATTCAAGTCTTTAATCTGTTTAGTTTATTTGTGTGTATGGTGTAAGATAGGGGTTCAGTTTCATTTGTTTACCTGTGGATATCCAAATTTCCAAACAGTGTTTCGTGTTGACAATATCCATTCCCCATTGTGTATTCTTGTACCTTTATCAAAAATTAATTGACCCTAGGTGAATATGCGTATTTATATGCTCTCTATTCTGTTGCATTGGTCTATGTGTCTGTTTTTATGCCAATACCACACTCTTGTGGTTACTATAGCTTTGTAATATAATTTGAAACCAGGAAGTGTGATGCCTCCAGCTTTCTTCTTCTTTCTCAAGATTGCTTTGGTGTTTCATGGTCTTTTGTGGTTCCACACAAATTTTACGATTGTTTTTTTCTGTGTCTGTGAATAATGCCATTGGAATTTTGTTAGAGATTGCACTGATTCTGTAGACCATTTTGCGTAGTATGGACATTTTAACAATTTTATTTCTTCAGATCCTTGTACATGGAATATCGTCCATTTAATTTTTCTTCTTCAATTTCTTTCATCAACGTCTTATACAGTTTGGTTTACAGATCTCTCACGTCCTTTGTTAAATATGTTTCTAAGTATTTTATTCTTTGTGATTCAAAGGAATTGTTTTCTAAGTTTCTCTTTGTGGTGGTTAGTGTGTAGAAATGCAACTGATTTTTGTATATTGATTTTATATCCTACATGTTAACTGAATTTGTTTACTAGTTCTAATATTTTTTTGGTGGAGTGCTTAGGGTTTTCTAACTATAAGATCATGTCATCTGCAAAAAGAGAAAATTTTACATTTTATTTTGGGGGGAAGAGTTTGAGAAGGATTGGTATTAATTCTTCTTTAAATGTTCAGTAGAATTCACAGTGAAGCCATCCAGTCCTGGGCTTTTCTTTGCTAGGAGGTTTTTGATTACTGATTTAATCTCTTTACTAGTAATTGGTGAGTTCAGATTTTCTATTTCTTTATGATTCAGTCTTTTTAGGTTATATACATCTAGGAATTTATCCATTTTTTCCAGATTATCTAATTTCTTGGGGTATAATTGTTCATAGTAGTTTCTTATGACCCTTAGTGTTTCTGTGTTATCATTTGTAATATCTCCTCTTTCATTTCTGATTTTATTTATATGAGTCTTCTCTCTCTTTTTTTTTCATATTCTAGCTAGGGGTTTTTTAATTTAGTTTATCTTTTTCAAAAGCTGGCTCTCAGTTTCATTGATCTTTTCTATTGTTTTCCTAGTCTCTATTTCGTTTATTTTCACTCTGACCCTTCTTATTTCCTTCCTTCTACTAACCTTCAGCTTAGTTTTTAGTTCTGTTTCTAGTTCCTTGAGGTGTAAAGTTAGTTTGTTTAGTTAGATCTTTCTCTTTTGTTAATGTGGTTGCTTGTTGCTATTAACTTCCCTCTTCGAACCTTCTGCTGAATCCTGTAAGTTTTGGTATGCTGTGTTTCCATTTTCATTTGTCTCATGATATTTTTATTTCATTTTTTATTTCTTCTTTGGCCCATTTATTGTTCAAGAGCATGTTGTTTATTCTCCATTTATTAGTGAATTTTCCAGTTTTCCTCTTATAATTGATTTCCAGTTTTATACCATTGTGGTCATAACCAATGATTAATATCACTTCAATCTTCTTACATGTGTTAAGACTTGTTTTGTAGCCTAACATATGATCTATTCTGGAGAAGGATCCATGTGCACATGAGAAGAATGTGTATTCTGATGCTGTGGGATGGAATGTTCTGTATATGTCTACTTGGTCCGTCTGATCTAAGATGTAGGTGAAGTCCAATGGTCCCTTGTTTATTTCCTGTCTGATCTATCCATTGCTGAAAGTGTGGTATTGATGTCCCTTATTATTGTTGTATTTCTGTCTAATTCTCCCTTGAGATCTGTTAATATTTGTTTAATATATTTAAGTGCTCCAGTGTTGGGTTTATAAATATTTGCAATTGTTCTATCCTCTTGATGAATTGACCTCTTTATCATTATATAATGATTTCTTTGTCTCTTGTGAGTTTCTGATTTAAACTTATATTTTGTCTGATATAAGTATAGCTACCCTTACTGTCTTTTGGTTTCCATTTTCAAGAAATTTCTTTTTTCCATCCCTTCAAGTTTAGTCTATGAGTGACTGTAAAAACTCATTTTTTGTTTGATATGGTCCTGTGGGACTCACAAATGCCAAGCGCCACTGGCTTTTGGTGCTGGGTATTTGAGGGCCCATCCCTGGGAGGAAGCCACAAAGGCTGGGCATTATATGTGTGGACAATCTCGTTCCAGGGTAAACTGGAGACCTGATTTTATTATTGAAGACAGCCAGAGACAGAATGTGGGGAAGTGCCCACTTGCTGTTTTAGGATCCTGGAAGCATCCTAGTAACCTGCTAGATGCCGGGTGGTTAGAATCCACACCCCTGGTCAGAAGTTGGTACAGTATGTAGTCAAACTCCTTCCAGAGAGACACTGGGTGATGGGTGTTTTTACTTGTTCCCTCAGCACTGGGCCTGGTGGTGTTGTCATGGGGTGTGCTAGCAGGCCCAGCTGAGCACTGCTGTTTTATTTGCTACAATCCAGTGGGACTCACAAATGCAAGCCCCGTTGGTCATCAGAGCTAGGTGATTTGGGGGCCTGTTCTTCTGGTGGAAGCCTTAAAATTTGGGGTGCTAGATGTGTGGTTCAAACTCTTGCTTCTCAGAAAGAAAAATGAGCTGGGGGTTTCACCTCGATTGTAAGGTTCTGTCCCAGGGGTGGGGATCATGGTGAGAGTGTGTCACAGCCTTTCCTACCCACTTCATCATCAGTCATCATCATCAGTCACCTGATGTGGAAGTCACTCAACTAGTTTCTGAATTTCTCTCAGAACAAATTGATTCATGTGTAGATATATTCAATACGTCCATGGGAGGAGGGAAAGTCAGGAGACTCCTGTGTTGCATCTTGGTGATGTTACTCAATACACTCTTACAATAGGCCAGGTGACCATGAAATGTAAGGGGGGTACAGTGCTTTCTTGTCTTTGTGTCCTGTCACTTACTCATGTACTCAGTATAGTATTTAATAGATATTCTTTGTCAACTGTGTTGTTCAACAAGACGGATATGGTTCCTAAGTTCATGAACCTCACATTCTGGTGGAGAATCAGAATATAAAAGTAAATAGAAATAAATACAGAATGATAACGGTGTAAATTATACTTATTGTCAGGTGTATTTTCTATAGTTTGAGCCCCTCCTGTGGAGTATGACAGCATCTCCTTTCTCAGGAGAAGAAAGAGCAAGAATCCTTTTCCAACGTTGGTTACATAAGAAGACTGCTTATGTCATCACCGGCATAACCACTTTTTGCTCCAGGCCACTCTGAAGCCATCTCCATGTCTTTTTAGAAAGATGTCGTAAGAACCACAGGGGAAATGGCTGTGAAAACCATCTTCCTTTTCCAGATTGGGGTTGGGGCTTCAGCCAATGTCATTCTCTTCTTCTATAATGTCTCTCCAATCTTGCTTGGCCACAGGCAGAGGCCCACACACATGATTCTCACCCATATGGCTGTAGCCAATCTCCTGTTTCTTCTCTCCTGTGGATTTCCCCACGTGAAGGCAGCTTTTATTTTGAGAAACCCCCTCTCCAGTCTCGGGTGTAAACTTGCGTCTTATATACAGAGAATAGCTCGCAACACCACCTTGTGCTCCACCTGTGTCCTGAGCACCTATCAGTACTTCACTCTCATCCCAGGGAGAGTGGAGAGGAGGATGCTCAGAGGAAAAGCCCCCAAGGTCATTGGTCGTTCCTGTTACACCTGTTGGATATTCAGTTTCTTAGTGAATATCTATATTCCTGTGAAAATAACTGGTCCACAGGACGTGGGAAATCATACTAACACCCAAGGGAAGTGGTTCTGTTCATACTCAAATCCCAGTGCAAGCATTGTCATCTTGTGGTCCCTCTCTGATGCCACGTTTATTGGCCTCATGAGCTGGTCCAGTGGCTCCATGGTGCGTCTCCTGCACAGACACCACCAGAGAGTGCAGCATATTCACACCCCCAGTGGCTACCACAAATGCCCTCCAGAGACCAGAGCTGCCCACACCATCCTGATGCTGGTGGTCACTTTTGTCAACTTCTACATGATGAATTCCATTTTTGCTTTTTACATGACTGCCTTCGTAGATTCTCATCTATGGTTGATGCAGATCTCTCATATTTTGGCTTTATGTTTCCCCACTGTTAGCCCCTTATTGCTGATCCTTAGGGCTCCTAGAGCTCCTAGTTTCTCTCTTAAATAGTTAGAAATCAGTGTTGTAGTGCAGCTTCAATAATAATCATAATTGCTCTATTCAGTAACCACTTGTGGAGTACCATTTTTTTTATTGAGTTACAAATGACACGTAACATTATATTAGTTTCAGGATACAACATATTGTTTTGATATTTGTGTGTATTGCAAAATGCTCACCACAATAAGACTAGTTAACATCCATCACCATTCATAGTTATAAAAAATATTTTTCTTGTGATGAAGTCTTTTAAGATTTACACTCTTTGCCTCTTCCAAATATGCAATACATATTTTAAAATGAGATATTAGCTATAGTCACCATGTTGTTTCATTATGTCACCATAAATTATTTATTTTATAACTGGAAGTTTGTGCCTTTTGATTTTGTACTTACCAACAATTTTTTACATAAAATTCTGTGAACTTGATACTAGTGCTGCATTGAGAGATCTGAAAGTCAATCTATTAAATTATCAGCTCAAAAAAGATACATAAAAGTATTGAGGAAACATTTTCCTCCTTGACCCGTGTAGCTGTATGAAAGAAATCTCCACTCATCGGGAGTATTTGAAGTGTTTCCACAAATTTTATCTCAATGTGGATAAGCCTCATACCTGACATATATTTGCAGATAATCCAATATTTGTCTAGATAAGTATTACTGGAAAGTGGAAGGAGATTTTATTTCATAGATGAAAATAAGAAACCTGGCAGATGGAGAATGTGTTTTTTTACATTATTTTGTATCTTTGTTACACTCATGTCTCTCCAATGTTCTGTAGTGTTACACAGAAGAATCAATGTTTTCCAGTTGGTTGCTTCTCCTCTATACCTATATTTTCTTTACATGATTGACCCTCCATAAATCTGATTGATTGGATGGATGACGTCATATTAAGGAGGGTGTAGAGCTGCCCTCTTGATATTAGTGACTTCAACGTTTAGCTTTTACATTGAAACACAGAAACAGGAAACTTGTGTTCTCTTTATCGTACCTGCTTTTTTCTCTCTTTGTTTTTCCTTTTGTTTTCTATTGGGAAAGTCTGGTATTTTTAATATTCCATTTTGAAAATTAATAGCGTTAAGGTACAACTTTTTTATTGATTACTGTAGCAATTGTACTTTGGGTTCCCAAAGTATTATAATCTAGTTAGGACAACTCTTGACCATTTCACAGATTATGTAAGAATCTTATATTAGTTATAATTCCATATATCTTATAATGCTTCAAGCTATTGTTTTTATAAATTTTTATTCTATATTTTTATTACATGCAATTAGTGCTATTACTTTTGCTGTCAGGAGCTAGTTGTCTCTTATAGAAAATAAGAAATGAAAAGGAAGTATGTAATATGCATGTATCCACATGATTGCCATTTTGCTGCTGATAATCTTTCTGTACATGTGTTTTCCTCTGGTACAATTTGCCTTCATTATGAAGAACTTCCTTTAACTTTTAAGAGTGTAAGTTTGCTAGTAGTGAATTGTTATGATGTTTATCTACAAGTGTCTAAAATTTACTGGCTGTTTTTCCTATTAAAGTGTACAAAATTATCTTTATTTGAAAAAAGGTAATAAACTGTGATCAATAATAACAATATATTTATCAATATACAACCTTATTTTAAAAGCTAAGAAATATAATGCCTATGAATTATTTTTATTTTTAAAATTATTAATTTGAAAAAATTTCAAATATACTTCATTTTCTCCTTTATCCAGATACCTCAATTGTTAACACTTTACTACATTTGATTTATCAGCTTTCTCTATATTTTATCCCATCAGCCCTAGTTTTTTTTTTCTCTCAACCACTGGAGAGTAATGTGTGTACATGGTACTCGCCATCCTAAACTCACTAGTGTGATTTTCCCTACAACAAAGACACTCTCCTACAGAACAATCTTACTGCCCTTCAGTTTAGAAAACCAATGTGGAGGGCCGGCCCCGTGGCTTAGCGGTTAAGTGCATGCACTCCGCTGCTGACGGCCCGGGTTTGGATCCTGGGTGCGCACCGCCGCACTGCTTCTCCGGCCACGCTGAGGCCGCGTCCCACATACAGCAACTAGAAGGATGTGCAACTATGACATACAACTATCTACTGGGGCTTTGGGGGGAAAAATAAATAAATAAAATTAGAAAACCAATGTGGATACAAACCTACAGTCTATGCACAGGTCTTATTCAAACTTTCCAACTGATCCAAAACATCTTCTTTTCTTTTCTGGTTGAGGATCCCAACCAGGCGCGTGTATTGCCTTGAGTTATCATGTCTCTTCCTTCTGCTCCAGTCTCAAACTTTTCCTCCTTCATTCCTTTCCTTTTATATCCTCAACCTATAGAATAGGTTCCATAGAATGACCCTCCCCTGGGTCTCTCTGATATTTCTTCATGACCAGACAAAGTTTACACTTCCTTGGTAGAAAGATCTAGAAATCACTATCTCAAAAAAAGATATCAGCATCCCCATGTTCATTATAGTATTATTCACAATAACCAAGATATGAAAACAACATCAGTGTCCATCAACAGATGAATGGATAAAGAAAATGTGTATATATACAGTGGAATATTATTCAGCCATAAAAAAGAAGGAAGTCCTGCCTTGCCAACAATGTGGAAGGACCTTGAGAACATTATGCTAAGTAAAATAAGTCAGACAGAAAAAAACAAATACTGTGTGATCTTACTTATATGTTGAATCTTAAGAAGCCTACTTCATAAAACAGAGAGTGATATAGTGGTTTCCAGGTGCTGGGGGTTGGGGGAAATGGGAAGGTGTTGATCAAAGCATACAAACTTCCAAGTATAAAATGAATAAGTTGTGGGGATCTAATATACAGCATGGTGACTATAATTACCAATACCGTATTATACACTTGAAAGTTGTTAAGAAAGTAGATCTTGAGTGTTATCAGCACATATACACACACATAAAGAAAGGTAATTACATGAGGGGATAGAAGTGTTCACCTTCTGGGGTGATCATTTCACAATATGTACATGTACCAAATCACCACGTAGTACACTTAAGTTAAATATATGTCAGTAATATCTCAATAACACTGGGGGGAAAGGAAGCATGCTGTGCTCTTCTTGGTGCCTCACATCAGGGGACACACTTTGTCTACCTATCCCAATGGTAGTGACGTTCACCTTCATGACCTGGTCACTTTGACTTAAAGAAAGGCATATGGTTAATGTGATTATGTGAGCTCAGCTGTGTGTGAAACGCACTAAAATCAGGATGCCAGACCAGACCTACCAGACTCCCAGCCCAGCGTCACTGGATGCACCTCAATATCCCTCTCTTTCCTGTGCCACTTACAATAGGTAATAGAATCAGTGGTGGCCCTGTTGGGTGTGTGAATACAGTGCAAATGTTTTGGTACATATCCCAATCCACAATATCCACTGTGAAATTTGCTTTTGCCCCATTCAAACTTGCATTTGAGATGGTGAAGACTGATCTAGATATTTCTGTTCTCAACAATCCTTCTCAGAGTGTCAGACACAACCCATAATCTTCTATTGAGCCAAGACACAAGGGAGCTTAGTGAAGTCATTCTTCATGGGTCCAGAGAGTTCTCTTATGAGGTGCACGATAGGTCAAGCAGCCTGTGCCCTGACCTGTAGGGCAGATCTAATTGGAGATGGTGGTATCCACAAAGCTATTCATAGCCATGAATCACTCTTCCTTTGAGCACTACCCCATGCAAATCCTGGGAACAAGTTGCTGCAAAAGGCATTCATGACGGGTTCCCACATCCACCTCTCAGTACTGGCGAACAGAGGAGAGCCCAGAACACATAACACAAAGCTGAATCTCCCAGAGTGCTTTCTCTGCATCTGTTTGATATGCCCACATCTCACCCTCCTCAGGTCATGAGAAATAATGAGCTGAGTGTACAATGTGCCACATCCAAGGTCATATCTATTGTGGAGAGAAATTAAGTACTTTCACAAATGGGCAGTCCACATGGCCCAAAAATCCCTGTTTCATTTTAGCTGGTTTATTACTGCTCTTTCTGCATCCAATAAAACTTTTTCACACAAATCTTTCATGAACTCCCCAACTAGGACTAAATTAATGACCCACATTGATACAGATCCTGCTTCACCATGGTTAACAAGTTAATTAGTAAACATTTTTGAATGAAAGAAGGGAGCAATGCAAAACATATAAAACAGAATCATTTGTAAAATATTGAACTTTGGCATTTTTTCCAGCTGTACTGCCCATTCATCCTTGCACAAATCAATCACTTGGCCAGAAATAGTAATTACAGAGATTTTTCTTTCCCCACAAGTCTAAGAAAAAAGAGAAGATTATGTCAAGTACTTGTGAGGAAATCAAGAGCAGATTCAGAGGTTCTTCCCCCAGTCTGGAAGGGATGCCCTTCAGCTTGGGCATGAGGGAGGAAAACATTTGAGGCTGCTGTTTCCTGAAAATCTCTCACCTCAACAATGTAAAGAGTTAATGTGCCCTAATTACACACCCTTCCTATTGCAGAGCAACACAAATATAGAGGTGACATGGTCCAACCCTAAAGATGTTTGAAAAGCAAGTTAGAATAAAAGACTGAAATCATCACTGGCCCTGAGCTGAGGTGGGAGAAGGGTCCAGAATCACGAGGGCACTCAGTCCCCCTGCTGGGCCTGCTGGGCCGGAACATTAATCTAGAGTAGAGAGGAGAAAATTAAAACATGAGGGGCACACAATTTCCCATCTTCTTCATCAAGAGGAGGTAGAAAGAGAACAGAGGGTACGTAAAAAATTTTGAATTTTCTAAGACACATTAGAAATAAGAAAAGGAAAAAGATAAAATAAATTTAAATAATATATTTTATTTAAGCCAATATATCCAAAATAGTATCACTTCTACAAGTGTCAGCAGCCACATTTCACATGTTCAATAGCCTCATGGAGCTAGTGGCTACCATACTGGATACCACAGTTATGGATGATTTCCATCACAGAAATTTGGATTGGCCAGTGCCTTCCGG